CAGGAGAATGGAGGAATTTAGCAGGACGACTTTGGAAGATCCAGACTGGTTATTTGGAGCTTTGGGTGCCAACTTTCTTTTCTTTCTTTGGCCACATGAAACATCAGTCATCCTGTTTGACATTGGAGCAATTCCTTTTAAGAAAATCAAAAGAAAAATGAGAGAAATTATTCACTAGGGTAAAAGGCTTCTGCCAGGGAAAAGGTTACACTGAGTCGCAATAGTATCAGTACTCCTTGAACTTTTTATGTCAGGCTTCGACTACAAACCCCTGAGTATTGCTGCTAGGAATTGATGTTATGAACAAAAAGTTGAGCATAACTATGAAGGGAAAATGAAATAGATATACACCCAGCAGATCTAACAGTTCATGAAAGATCCGTAAAAAAGTCATTGATCAAGAAATGTATATATTTCCTTTTCCATAAACGTTTGTTTTCATCAAGAAATACATTTTGTTTTGCCTTTTCCTTACATAATCCTTTGTTCTTTTTATGATTCCTCGTCTCCTATTTTGCCTTTATTCATGTACCTGCTAGGGACCATGCACATTAGTTAACAATATGTAAATGCAGAATTAGCCAAAAGTAAATTTCAGTGTTGGTTCGGTGTTGAGACTAGAGCTGTATTCACCTGCAATAACTCAATACAAGTGAGATAACAAAGTGTTTGGGGGGACATGTCAATGTTGAAAAACTTTTTTTCAAGAAAATGGTGTCAGTGAAATTATTCAAGAAACAAAAATAGTGTAACTTAGAACATATGTAGACATTAGACGTGAGTTGTTACATTTTTGATTATGTAATTTTAGTGAAAATGCAAATGAGGATACTCCTAGCTATGCCCAAAATACAACTTATTGTAAATTGTTTAAAAATAAACCTGGGTTAACATGGGGGTGGCAGCGACATCCTGTACTTTGAACTGCGTTGAGAGGGAAGCTGGTCAGATTTGATGGGAGGATGGAGGAAGTAAATTACAGAGCAATTAGAAAAAGAGCTGTTAGATTCGACAGAGCGGCCATCTGAGGTCAGACCAAGGTGCTATCGGAAAAAATAGACGTCAATTGAGGCTAAACCTACTTTATAAATTCAAACACTCTGAACCGATTTCCAGATAAACTGGCTGACTAAAAAATGAGAACGTTTCGCAGGTTAAGGCGCTGTCACACCGTGACGATTTAGACCAGCGTATGCTAATGGTGGCGTACATTTGATAAATTATAAATTATGTTTTGAATAAGTTATGAGCACACTGAAGCTAAGTTAATCACAGGTCTTGGTGTCTAGCTTATCCAAAACCTATGAGTAACTTGTGCATAACTTATGTGTAACTTATCAAGAACTTATCTTCAACGCAAATCAACATATGCAGGTATATTTGATGTATTCCAGATCACCAATGAACATGTTCCTAACTTCCAGCTACTGTATAATGGCATATTGGCAGCGTTTTGGTATAAAGGGGGTTCACAGGAGGAATTGTGAGCAGATGTTCCACAAGACATGGAGGATCCCATAAGGCTGAGAGGGGAATACATGCCAGCTGTCCTCCAACATCTGCATGATCTAATCAATTCGACTCTGTTCCAGAATGTGCTAATAGAGCCAGAAGAAGAAGAGATCAACTTCAGTGAAGGGACTGGGTCAGACCATGGATGAGGAGACAACGGCAGTTGGGCGTGTATAATAAGCTAATGGTGGAACTCTGTGAGCATTACGCTGCTGTGCATTATGCATACGTTAGGCCGTTGTTGGGCATAAGTTCTGGACTCGTTATGAATACCCCATGTATGCACCCAAAATTGAAAAAATACATAGAAAGTTCAGCGCATGCCAGCATTTTAAAAGACTCTGGAACCTCGAAATAAGTTGGCTAAATGGTCATGGTGTGACAGCGCCGTTACATGGGACCAACTGATCTGATTTTCTGCTTTACAACATTGATTATTACATATAATTTTGGTTTTGAAAGCAAACACCCAGTGCTACCTCTAAGGATGCCCGACTTTTATTCCGCCTATGGATGTACAAATAAAAGTAAACTACAAATCAGATCCAGTGGAATTACCTTTCATTAGTAGGATTTTATGATAGATTATCCTCATCTTTCACAGATACTATTTTTCTGGTGTTTAAACAAGAGGTGCTGATGAGTAGCAGGGATGAAAGCAGATAAAAGTGCTTAAAACGCCCTGATTTCTAAAACCAATGAATATACTATATATTACTATATAAATATATTCAACTATTAATATATTTTATAGAAAGATGTTTTTGTGTGTATATAAATCTGCTCGGATCCAACAGGAGATATAAATATAAAATATACATTAACATAAAAAAAATATAAATGTTCACATTTGCAAAAATAATAATAAAAAAGTTTGAAAAAGAGTTTTGGAGGAAGTTAATATAAACATAAGAAAAAAATTCCTTTAGTGAGACACAACATAAATTTACCATTCAATACGATTTGACTTAAATTGTCTTGACAATGAATTTTTTTTTATAAAAATTAACTCTGAAGTTAATAAAAAAATACCAAATAATAATTTTACTCTCTTTTGTAAATCACTTTCCAACAAAGTTTCCTCTATAGATCATAATACTCATAATCAAAAAAGCAATCCTTAAAAATACTGAATAATAATAATGCTAAAAATATACATTTAAATATATATTTGTATATTAGATAATGTTGTAATGTATTAAAATAAAACTTTGTGTTTTGTCATATTAATATTTAATTGCTAAATATATAACTTTACAAATCCCTCATCCAATCTCACTAAAAAGGTTATTTTAAAATATGTTTAGTTCTTTTAATGGGTTATGACATGTCAGAGATTATTGTGAAATGATATTTGACTTGTCTTACATGTGATTAAAATGAGATTGGAGTTGCCTCCTATTCATTCTGACAGCAGCTGTCTGATATATGGTCTGACCCAAGATGGCCGCCCTATAAGCACGCCCGCCTCGCTACCGACAGCCTCCCATATAAAGATAATGGCTTTTAAAAAATGGCCAAAATGTGTTTCATGTTTCCTTCGACTTCACAATCATACTTCTTATACTATTTGAGTTATTTTATCAATTAAAGCTCCACCAAAAAAAAAAAAAAAGTGTTGTAGCATGTGAAAAAGTTCAAGGATGTCAATGATATTATAAAACAACCTTTTTTTATTTAATTATTAGCTAATGACTGTATTGAAGCTCTGACGGGTAATTATTTATACACACGCAGAAACAGAAAAATAAATGTTTTTCAGAGCAGAATGAGTTCCTAAATAAGCTAACTCCGCTTAGCATTAGCTCTGCTGCTGGAGCTAGCTAATTAAGTTAAAAACATGTTAATAATTGGTTAAGCTCACCGTTAGTTCCTTCTTAGAGATGAAAATACTGGGAAGCCACCTTATAGGGTAGATAAAGACGTTTTCGCTGGTGAAAGTTTCCAACAGGGTCTGAAAGATGCGAAATTTCAAGGAGAAAAAGAGGTTTATGCAGAGCTGCACTTATCCATCCATCGATCCACGTGGGTGCGGAAAAACGGGGTCAAAATAAAGAAAATCTAATTCAGTCTATATTTAATTGTCAAAATCTCGCGTGAACTTGGCTTATTGCACAAATTAAAACTAGATAAATGCAAATATGCATTAATTTTTAATTGGAACTTCCATAAAAATATTACAGGTCCTTTAAGGTGGTAGAAAATAAAGTTTTCAGGATTAGATGACTTCAAAGGATAATGAAGTAACAAGGATAGTTTTTTTTTCATAATTTACAACTGGAAATCAAAGAAAATTTAGTTATAGTTATCATCTTTTGACACAAAAAGGAAAGATGGCTTGTTTTTCTTCCCATTAAAACATTAAAAACCTTATAACTACTTTTTTTTAAGGAACACATTTTGTACATTTTGTTCTCATTCGAAATGAGAACATCCAGTTCACAAAATCTCCATTTAATGTATTTAATCTAATCTCTTATGATTTTTTTACATGCCTTCCTCACCATTGTGGTGGAGCAGTGGCCCACTTTCCTCTGTAGCTTGAGTGTAAATGAATAATCTAGCAGTGGGATCTCTTTTTAAATGTGAGCTTGGCCTTAAGCATCTCCTCTCCCATAGGTTTGCAGCATAAACAGCCTCTGTAAGGTCAGATGTCTTTTCTCCTTGGTATTATGTTAAACACATTTGCATGTTTCAAACCAGTGACTCCTGCTTCATAGAAGCAGCTATTTCCCCCTTTAAATGTTCTCTGTTTTCAAAGCAGTGCTTAGATTTTTGCTGCTGCTGCACCGATTGCATTGGGAGCTTTTATTTCCAAGTCTGCTTATGTGAAAAAGTGCACTTTAACCATGCAAACCCAGTCTTTCTCCAGCTTGGACCAAAAGGCTTTTTGGAACGCTCATCATATGCAGAATTATTTAGTTAACCCAAAGCAAAGGATACAATAAACAGAAGTGAAAAAAAGTGTTTAGATTTAATCAGATAAATATGTTAAGGATCTTATAAACTATATTTAATATTTGTGATAACAAAATACAAGTTTTCTAAGGCATTTAAAAATATTGGAATAAGGAAAACAAAAGTCTCTTGTATTGGCATTTTGTTTAATAGAGGAAATCCAGGATTATAGTTACAAATGCGATCAATAAAATATCCTATAGTGCCAACAGTTATGGTATATTATTTTGGACTTAAATTGACAATGACCTATTTTCTTCAATCCACTTTCAGTGTTCAGAAATCTCAACATGCATCCTAGTTCAGCATAGAGATCAAAACTATAATAATAATAATAAACAAAAAAGAAAACTAGAGAACTCCAATAATGTCTAACTTCTAGGATGTAATTACTTTTGTCCATTTTGTGTTACTTGCTTTTTAAAGAAACTAACTTTTCTCCAACTCTCTTTAAAAAAGGGATTACAAAGTATTTGTACAAAATGCAATTATGGATAAATTATTTAATTAAATTAATATATTATATAACCATTTGCAATAAAAGCACGATTGGTGTTTGCACAAGTTGGGATAAAAATGATAATACAACCCTTCAATACAACATTTGCAGGATAATTACATTTTAATTATATATACAGAATATTTTAGTGCAATTAAGTGCAATCCTTATTATTTAATTAAAGATAAGTGTGCACTATAATCATGTGGAAAAAGAGAAATTCAAGTAATCAAATCCTGTTTAAAACACTGCTGCAATAGCTTTGAAATAAATTTACTCTTTAGACATTGTATGGAAAGATAGAAAGTTTAGATCAAAAAACATCTAAACTTCAATCCAAGTTAGAATTTTAACTAAACTCAGCGAGTTTTAAGAAAACATCCACTGGTTCGACTTTCAGAGGACTCTTCTGACAGCCCACCCAGAGGTAAGGAAACACGGCCTCAGTGATGGCGTGTTTGAAGGTGTAGATATGTGCGTTGTTATGCGGGTCATAGAAGGACACTTTTCCCTTCTCACAGTCCAGCTGCACTCTGATCCTCTGCGGATTCCTTTTCAGAGTCAGCCGTGTCAAAGGAGAGGTACCGGCGAAGTACATCTTGTGGTAAAAGTACACACACAGGTAGCCATTGTTCAGGACAGAAGACACTTTCTCCTTCCTTTTGATGGACTCCTTAGCCACGCCGACAACCCAAGCCGTGTTGTCTCCCACGTTCACCTCCCAGGCGTGCTTGCCTGAGGACAGGCCGTGCCGGCCAAGAACAGCAGTGTCGGGGTCGAACCTCTCCGGGTTGTTGGGCAGCCTCTGTTTCTCATCGCTGTCATGGACGGAGGTAAGGTCATCTGACAGGACCAGCCATGGGGCCGCCGTGTTTGGATCCAGAGTAACTGGAGCTGAAGAGAACATGGCAGGGTGTCACCTCAGTGTTCTGCTAAAAATCCCACCTCAGGAATAAATCAAAATGTGGGAACTTTTCTCAGAGTAATACAAGCGCCTTTATGGTTTAATAAATCAGCATCCACTCACTGTATTGGGTGATTTTTTGCATCTTCTCCCACACCTGGAAAGTTAAAGAGCCAATGTATTTGGCAACATCTATTAGTGCCGCTGGAGCCATGACTGGATCTGCAACAGGATAATTTGCCCTGCAAAATGTACAAATAATTCAAATTCTATTAAATTCAAAACTACTTTATTAATCCCAAAGGCAAATTTATTGTTTTACTAATTCAGAGGTTTTTGTCTGTGTGAATTCAACTCATAAAAAGTTTCCTTTTACCTTGCAAGCGTGCTCTTGCATTTCTAAAAAAAAACAAAAACAAGTGAGTTAAAATTTGAAAGCAATGAGCAGGCATGCATTCCTATCTACGTCTGTTATATAAAAGCTTACATGAAGGACAGAGATGTCCTCAAGAGCCATCTCCTCCATCAAAACTCTGATAGTTTCCGACATGGACGATATATTTTCCTTGATTGTTTCAATCATTTGCCTCATCTCTCCAGTCTTCTGCTCTTCGTCCCGTTTCAGCGCCTCCATCCTCGATTCCTCCTCAACACGAAGGAAGTTGTGGAGTTTTTCAAACTCCTCATGTGTCCGTCTTTCCACGAATCGGGCCTGATCCTGAGGGATAACATTGTTTAAGTACCGTGCCTTGAAAGTACATTATACTCCTTCAATGTATTTACATTTTTCACATATTGCTCCTTGCAGCTGGGAAACTGAAATATCTTTAGTTCAGGCCTAAATGCAGAAACATCATTTGGGAAATACTAAAGGTGCAGATTATCTTATGTACATCATCCACTGGGTTATTAACACGGTGATGAAAGCATCCCTCAGAGGCTAAGCTTACCTTTAACAGAAAAAAATATGCAAGTCGGATTAACTAACTAAATTTGGAAAACAACCTGATAGCAGCTTCAAAAGATTTGTGCCTGGAAAGGAGGTTAATCGACCTAGATGACAATGACCTTAAATAGAGCCAGAGATCCAATAGAGTGGTTTAAAATCAAAGCTTTTTTTTTATAGGGCTACTGTCATAGTCTGGATTCATCTGAAACTTTGTAGGAAGACTTAGAAATAATTTTTTACTAAGGTTCTGCATTAAATCTGACCGTGCTTGAGCCGTTTTGCAAAAAAAAAAAAAA